TCTATCTATCTATCTATCTATCTATCTATCTATCTATCTATCTTATCTGCAATCCAAAGCTTGCTATAAAAAAGATGTGCCCATTCTTTCCTCTGTACACTTTGAATTTTAACTGTGATAAAGAGGAGAGTTAAGATGTTATAATTCTTTATTTCTCGTATCTCAGATATGGTGTTTCCATTCTTTAAATGGAACCATTTATGAAGTACCATCCTCCCAATATCACCACCACCTGCCACAGATTTCACCAACTCGTTCTCAATCTGATGTGCATGTATGAATAGGTCAATAATCAACCCTCACAACCATTTAAGAAAATCACAAGATATATAATATTAAAAGTCCTGTGCTAAGACAATACATTTTAAGTGACGTGCTTTACAATTCATGCCAAAAGAATAAAAATAAAAAAATAAAATCACATTTGAGTGCTTCAGTACCTTGTTTTTATGAATGAGTTCAGCAGCCACGAGTGCCTCCCCAGCCTTCTGTCCCTTCTGGATGATGGGATGCCACAACAGCCTTGGCATTTCATCCATACCAGGATTCAGCTTCACCAAAGGGGTGCAAACGCTGCGGCCAAGCATCTCATCCTTCCCCTGCACAGATCATCACATGCTACACGTGATTTGTCAACATTTCGCTTGCTGTGCAACAAATGAGTGTAAAATTAAACTTAGCGAGCGCTGACGTGTTTAGTAGGGCGTAATGCGTTAAAACATTTACAAGCTGAGGGTATGTCTGTACAGAGAAATGTGCCATCACATTCCGCTGGTTTTGACAGAATTATTTTGTAATCCGTCAATATTTAAACATCCCCCACAGCCTACCACTTGGTCACTGTCGTAGAACTCCAGCACCACGTCAGGGGGACATCCAGCGATGCTCTGGGGGTCTCCATACATCTCAATGTCATGGAAAATTAGAGTTTGGTCCCAGGTTGGGTTCAGCGTTGCTTTCAGCTTCTCTGTTGTCTTACTAAGATGAAGGAAGGAGATGTGTGCGTACGGATCTGTAACGAATGAAAAGTTGCTCATAACATTCACAGAAAATTTGAATATTTTCTCTTCGCTAAACTCGCAGTTGTGTTTTTAACAGGGTAAAATCTTACCAGAAAAACTATCTTTGTCCATGGACGTCAGGTTCCTTGCCTGATAGACGTACACACGAAGGTGATACACGTAGGATCCTACAAAAGAAGACGGTTTAAAATCAAACAAAATTAAATACGTTAAAAAAAAAACTTTTCTTTGAGGCGCTTACTGTCAAAGGAGCAGGACACCGTGGGCGTGTTGGCCCCAAACATCTTGGTGGCATCAGCTTTGGAGCCCTTCTCTTTTTCCTCTGTATCAACACCCTGCATGCCAAAGAAACCAGATGCTGGGAATGTGGATGTGTTTAACTCTCTGTTAAATATTTGTACATCTTCAGTGACTCAGCTCCTTCTTCTTAGATATTTCTTTCCCTTCTAGCTTATCTGCTCACCTCTCTGAATTCTGACTATTTGCAAACTAGAAAAAGCTGATTTTAGATGGGGTTTTTTTTGTTTTGTGAAAGCAGATTTATCAATATCTGGATTTTAGTTTTCTATCTTTTACTCACCAGTGCCCCCTCCAGTTGGAAGATGGCACACGCTCCGAGACGATCTTCAGGCGCCATCTTTCGCCTCCAGCGCCTTCGACGAAAAGTGTCTGAGGAACGCTCGTTTCTGTGGAATTTCCAGCCAATGAGAGAGGAAAATTCCCAGCCTTCAGGGTCACCACGATCTCTCCTCTGCGTGGAAAATAAACATCCAGAACTAACATTTAATTGACTTTACAAGTGATCAATTAATGTAACTATAAACTGGAAAAAAACACCACTTATTTTGGTCTGATGCATTTGTCACGTCTAAGCTGGACTATTGCAATGGTTTATTATCTGGATGTCCAAATACGTCTTTAAAACGTCTTCAGTTGATCCAAAATGCTGCTGCCAGAGTCTTAACTGGAGTTAGTAGGAGAGATCATATCGCTCCAGTTTTAGCTTCTCTCCATTGGCTCCCTGTTAAATTCAGAATTTAATTCAAAATCTTACTTCTAACCTACAAAGTTCTCAACAACCTAGCTCCATCTTATAGTCGAGATCTTGTTGTTCCATATTTTCCCAACAGAGCACTTTACTCTCAGACTGCAGGCTTACTCATAATTCTAAAAGCAGAATGGGAGGAAGATCTTTCAATTATCAGGCTCCTCTCTTGTGGAACCAACTTCCAGTTTCTGTCCGTGAGGCTGACACATTGTCCAGTTTTAAGACTGGGATTAAGACTTTCTTTTTTAATAAATCCTATAGTAAGGGTCAGCTTGTTATGCTGCCATAGGCTTACACTATTAGAGGACAAATTGACCTCAGTTCCTTAAATTAATTGTTAAAATTGATTAGTTTTCATTTGATACTATTTATATCTTAACATGATTCTTGATCTGCCATTGTGTATCTGTTCCTTTCAAATCCAGCCGGTCAAAGTAGATGGACGCTTGTCCTGAGCCCGGTTCTGCTAAAGGTTTCTTCCTCAGGAGGGAGTTTTTCTTTCCACTGTCGCCTTCATGCTTGCTCAAGATGAGAGTTCTGTGATGGAGTTAAACTCAAAGCAGTCTGCTCCTCAGATAAATATTGTTAAATTATTATTTTTATATATGAATGTTTCTGTTCAGTGCCCTGAGACGACTTCTGTTGTGACTTGGCGCTTTATAAATAAACTGAATTGAATTGAATTATCTTTCAAGAAATAATAGTTAATGTAATTCTATTTACAAAATGAGACAGTCTGCTGACCTCTACTGTTACCCCTCCAGGAGCTCTCTTACGAGGTCGGACCAGCCTCCGCCTGCGGTGGACATGGTAGACCTTCTCTGCAGGAACCCAGGATCGAGGCTTGTCATCTGGAGGGATGGTCATGCCATACTCCCAGCCTTTAGAGTACATACACGCCAAGACAGAAGGACATTTGTCTTAAACTCATTGGATTCTGTATGAAGACACATGGAACTACAGCATATGCAGTTTGGAATAACTGAATTAACTCGGAGGTAACGGTGTATTAAAACTCCGAATATTGTTTAGGTTTCATCTGCTAGGTGAGTTTCTGCACCTTGATCATCCACAGCTCTGTTGTCATCCACAGTCCAGTCGTCCTGCCACGTCCAACCTGGAGGACAGTCGAACTCTGCAGGGTTGCGACTCTTCTCCCCATTCTGTGCAACATTATAACAAAACTGTTGGCTACTTTTTATATTCACTGTTCTTGTTGTTGTAAAGGCAAAGACAGAATATGCAAATCAATTTACTATTCATGCACAAAAGCTCGTGCATATTTCAGTTTATCAGAGACAAGCAAATCTAGTTTGTGTATAGTTTCATTTGCAACATCTCTGCACAATGTTTGCATGCCAGCGTTCTGGTCTCACCACATCGGTATACGGCTCAGAGGCGGCTTTCCAATCTCCACCAGGGAAACGGGTCTCGTTCTGGAAAACTTCATCCATAAATTCGGTGTGTCCTGCATCTGCCTCGGTTAGCAGACTGCAACAAAGCCAGAAACATCGAGCATCTATGTCAAAAGCAATAAAAGGGCAATAAAGAACATTCAAAACCACGTTGATCAGTCTGTGTCCCTCTAATGGTGTCACAAAGTAAGTCCCGTGTCATATGTCCCATGTCGTCCCAATTTGTTTGTAGGGTACTAGCTGTTCAACAGTCCTGGGTCTTCTCTGATGAGAGGTCTGGACTGCAGGCAGGCCAGTTCAGCACCAGTACTCTTCTGCTACAAAGTCAACCTCTTGTACTGGATGCAGTATGTGTTTTAGCATTGTTCTGCTGAAATATGCAAGGCCTTCCCAGGATTAGAAGTATGTTGTTCTAAAACCTGTATATACGTTTCTACGTTAATGGTGACATTCCAAATGTGTAAACTCTCCATAGAATAGGAACTAATACACCTCCATACCATCAGAGAGGCAGGCTTAGGAACTGTGCTTTGATTTACTATTTCATTGTTTTTGTGTATTTTATGTTTTACTTTTGATGCTTTTTTAAAAAAAATGTATTTACCCTTTATTTATCCAGGTAATCTCATTGAGCCACGAGAACTCATTTTCAAGAGAGACCTGTTTTAGGGAGCAGATGGTGGGGGTTAAGGGCCTTGCTCGGGGGCCCAGAGTGGGGCGAATGAGGGTGGAGGCAGGTGTGGGTGTTTCACCTTTTCCACCCACATTTTGATGTTGACAGTACCGGGAGTTGAACCTGCGACTTTCTGATCACAAGCCCATCTTCTAACCTCTGCGCCACCACTCCCCCCTTTAAGTTACATCTTATTATTTTTTCTTTAATTACTGCCTTTGATCTTATTGTTAAGCACTTTGGTAACAGCTGCTGTTTTAAATGTGCTTTGTGAATAAATTTGACTTGACTTGGATGGTCCCTGTTCACTTTACTTTTGAATACCCAGTTCTCTTGCTGGTTTGTTGTTAATAAGCATATATAGGTGGAAAATGCTGCATCAGCTGGATCATAGTTATACCACTTACATTTACAACCTTTTGTCGTGCTTATTCCATCTCTTTTGAAATGTGTTGCTGCCAATAAATTCAAAATTACCTTTTTTAATGGTATACCTTCTTAGTTTAAATATTTAATAATTTCATTATGTTCAATTGTAAATAAAATATGGATTTGTGAGATTTGCATTGCATTGTTTAATTTACATTTAAAACAAATGTTCTGATTTTTCTTTTCTTTTCTTTTTTGATGGGATTGTAAAATAACAGATTTCTTGTTTATGCCTGTCCTTATTAAACCTTTTCCTTCTGGATCTCTTGCAGAACGGATAAATGTACAGATGCCTGGATACTAAAAAAGAGTACTATGACTGCTGAGACAGAAAATGTGCTTAGGTAACTCAACATGGAGTGCACAGCTTAATTTTTCTTAAGCTGACAGAAACAGATTAAGTTAAAAGGGAATTCCAGCTCACTGAAACAGTCTGGTACAGACTTTAAAGTTCATGGAATGAGAGAAATGTAAACAGAAAAGACCAGACACAATCTTTAAATCTGTTCCAGCAGGGCAAAAAGTCACTAATCAATGCCATTAGTGTCAAAATGTCTCTTTAGTTTGGACAAAAAATTGTACTTGTTCAAGATTGTCTTATTCTTTAGATGCCAGATGATTATATCTAATTACACTCACGCTTTTTCAGGGTCGATGAACCAGTCAGCCTCCCATTCCCATCCCCGGGGTGGTATGAAATACTCCTGTTTCAGCTTCAGTTTGCCAGTTACGTCTGAGAATTTGTAGCGTCCCACCAAACCTGTGGTCCCCCACTTACCAAAGACCTTGGCCTGATTTTCATACTGTAAATACAAGAAAAGACATTTATACCTTTGTGAGAGAATTTAAATAGTTCTTTTGTTCTGTGTGAACTATTTACAGTATCAGATTGCAAGCGGACTAAATAATCCAGGCACTTGCTATAAAACTTTGTGAATACAGACGTGTTAGTTATTTTGTTTTATTGGGAGAACGTGATTTACCAGCTCAGCAAACACACTGAAGGTTCCCTCAGAGAAAGCGTTGAACTTTTTCTCATGTGCAGAGAGACCGAGCCACATGTTGACTCTGACCTGCACCGGCACCTTCAACCCTTTGGCCTTGTCCATGGGGTACTGTGGGGTTCAACAAGCATTGTGACTGGAAATAATCTAACACACTCCTATAATAGTATTTAAATCCTTCCTTTACTGTGATTTTTGTGTTTACCTTTAAAAAGACAGTCTGGGTCTTGCCGCAGTGTTGTCCACAGGCCTGCTCACTGTGTGTGGAAAAAAGTATCTTGTGAGCTGGAATACGGCTGTAGGCCACCCTCTTCTCACCACGAAGCATCCAGATGATCACATCCGGTATGCTGTTCTGGGGCTGAGAAAAGGGAGAATATTCCTATTTAAACGCAAAGTGCTAAACCAAGCATGTTGATAACAATCACAACATGTCAAAAATACTTGCAGCACAACATAAATTCTAACATTGTCAAAGCACTTCTGGCCTATAGAACATGTTTAATAAATCAACAAGTCTTCCAAACACAGTTTTACTTTCCCCTAAAATCAGACGTCAGAGATCAGTCAATCCGGCTTCTTGCATTTGTACCTCTTCAGCCAGCTGTTGGAGTTTTTCCACCCAGATTTCTATGTTGGACAGAGTCTCAGAGATTTCTCTGGCCTCATCTCTCATCCGCCTGGCTGCTTCCAGGATGGAAGACAAAGCGCTGTCTCGCAGTTTCTTGATCTGGATGTCCAGAGATGTCAGGTTGGAGCAGCCCTCCAGCTCAGGTGCAGGGAAACTCAAGAAGAGCACACAAACTGATGCTTCATTTACTGCAGTCGAAATTAAAATACACTTTGACCATATTGCCCATGAAAGGTGGGCAGTATTTTTTTTTGCCAGTGTCTGAGCAGAATATTTCAATAACCACTGAATGGCTCATAAAAACCACAAAATTTACTATAACTCAATCAAATTTAGAAATATGGAGGTAAAAGTTGATGTGGCAGTAGCTGAGTCAGCCCCAGCACAAACTGAGAATGCTAACAACACATGCGTGATCATGTTTCATTTTTAAACAAATGACCTTAATTCAAAACCATGAAAAGCAACATTCCTTCAAGGAACCCAAACCTTTGAAATATTTCTGAACTCACTAACTTTTAAGGCCATTACTATCATGATCTGTGTTTAGTTTTAGTCTTCTTGTGACTCTTGTTTTTAGGTTTTGTTTCTGAGTATTTGTGTTTTAGCTTCCCCAGTGTTTTTCCCCTCCTTCCCCTCCCACTCACCTGTTCCAGGCGTGGTCATTTCTCCCCTATTAGTTTCCCTGTAAAGCCTGAGGTGTTCTGCTCTTTTGTTGTCCGTGCATTATGCTTTCACATGGTCATGGTTTGTTTTCCTTCGAGCCTCTAGTTCAGGCCTGTTCAACTAAATTGCTCAGAGAGTCACAGCTACTGAACGCCAAGAGCTCAGGGGCTGGACATTCAGCAGTTATTGTCATTAAGTAAGTTTGTTTTATGATTTAAAATATAATTTTATTTAAAAATGAACCCATTGGTGGGCCGAACTGAGTTCACCTGTGAGCCTAATTTGGCCCCCGGGCCACCAGTTGAATAGCCCTGCTCTAGTTTTTCATAGTGAGTTGAGTTTTCAGCTGTGAGTTTTTGTGCTGCCTCGTCAACCTTTTTGATTTGTCTTTTGAAAAATAAACAAGTTAATTTATTTTACCTTGAAGTTCTTGAGCTTTTGGTTTTGCATGTGGGTTCACATCTTACGCAGACATAATTAACGGTTCGTTTGTTTCCTTGCTTGAATATTTTTTTAGCTACCTTTTAGATTCATGCACATAACAAGCAACAGAAATGATGAACAGCTCAGCGACACTCCTTCTATTTACCTTTCCAGGTCTTCAATAAGCATATTGAGCAACTTCAGCCACACCTCTGCAAGTTGGTTGTCAGAGACTTTTGCCAACATGGCAGTTTTAAATGCCCTCAGGTTTGATTGCTAAAACAGCAGCAAACAAAACAAGACAGGATTATGTTTGCAGTTTAAAAACTCCACGACCGTTTCTCATACCGACACACGTATGGTAAGCCTACAGCCGAGAGCTGAAGCAAACAATGCTGTAAAATATGCTTTAAATAAAGAAAATAAAGTTTTAGACTATTACAGGTGGAAGTGCAATTTTACCAGGCGGTTAATGATGTAGAGGATAATGTTGACAGAATTCAGGCGGTGACTGATGTCTTCCCAGAAAGATGTGACCACAACCACCGGTTTAGTGTTTGCCCAGGGCAGGTAGTAATATTGGTTACCTGGAAAAAAAAACAACCCTGCTATTTAAAGTGATCTGTATTTTAGGTTGCTATACGCACGAATTCATCACTCACCGTCAAAAACTGCACAGCTGTATTGAGTGGTGGAGGCCAGTGGTTTGCAAGTGGTATCCAATTTGTTGCCATAGTTACCGATACTAACCTCAAACTGGATTGGTTCGCCAGGCTCTTGAATCATGGAAGCGCTGTGGAAAACTGCACACAGACAGTATTTCCTCCTCCGCTGGTACTTCTGAAAGAGGAGAAAACAGATAAAGAGGAAATGTTTTTGATCTTCTCAGCTTTAGTTTTATCTCTTTTTTTTTCTGTCAAGCCTTCTCAGTGGTGTAGTCTACATTTTTGTAGTGGGCATACTGTGCTTAGAAAACAAAGTACACTCGTTTGTACAATGTAATCATCAATTTGTTTTGATTTTTAAGCATATTGAACATTTCCAAATTTATCTGATGCTTGTATTTGAATAAATGAACAGTTGGCGTTGTAATAAAAACATGTTATAGAATTTATTACACAGTATCAAAGCAAAGCACTACATACTGATAGATTGTTACGGACATGTTTAACTGCCATTTAACGTAACAATGACACGTGCCTAATGATATGCCATGTATCATTGAGCACCTTTAAGTGTGTATACTGACATTCTTAAGCTTTTCTAGTGTACTCCATATGCCCGAGTATCACGTAGACTACATCACTGCGTTGACTTCCAATACCACGGTCATCCATGAATTTCAATTTCAGGTCACCCATTTGTTAGTAGGTGGATTAAAAGTCACTACCTGCACCACCAGGAGGTCATCACTGGGGATACCTTCGACAGCTTTGTCTATTTTCTGCTCTAACTTAGTGGACAGCTCGACCAGAATCCTGCCTCTGTAGGCCACCCCTTCTCCCTTATATATATAAAAATAAAAAAAAAATACAAATATTGACACTAAAAAAATAATTAAGACATGTCAAAATTATTGTTATGAAGAAATAGTCACATTTGCAGTAAGATAGTGATAATCATTCATGTGGACTTCATTACCTCGCCAAAATTGAGTTTCTCGTAGGGGTCTGGCAGGCCGCTGAACTCTCTGGGGCTTCCGTACAGGTTTATATAGCAAGGGCCAAACACGGGTAAGAACCCCACCTCAGTGTCGCCTGAGTGAGCTGGAGAGACAACCTCAGAGTTCAACTTTTATGAGCAAACGTGAGGGCAGCGTTCAGTTTTTTAGGTGAAGCTTGCTGTATTGGTGTGGGCATTGTTAATGGTGACAAAGCAGGTGGAAGCAATGACAATGACAGTGGTATGAGGTTAACATGTAAATCTTGTCGAACCAGGACAAAGCGTGGGTTAAGCACTAACAGAACTGGACTTGCTTGGAATTTTAGCATGCTCAACAAGCTTATAATGTGTTGCACTGCATGCAAAACACAGCGAAAAAGAGCTCGGGTGAACCTTCAAATGACGATATTTCCGCATTTCTGGCATGTTCTTCTATTACAAAGGGACAAAAACAAACGAAGTACCTTTTAGAAATGACACATTTAGATAAATGAGAAAGAGAAACACAGAATCTTGTCATCTTTGTTTTGCTTTTTGCATAAAACCCATGCTAATAAATATACTGTTACAAACATTATACCTTCCACTTCTCCACCAGAGGAGGCAATTTTGGCCAGGTTCAGGTATGTGGTGCCAACAGCATCATTTCCTGTCATACGATCCCTGAAATCACACAAATCGCCTTGAACCACACACACAGCACTGCGCTCTTATAACAAACCATACTGGCATGTAAAACATTATATAAGTAAATTGCTAAGCCAATACTTTTCACAATACAACTGGTCCGTTAAATTCAACAGTGCAGCCTCATTTTTGGTGCTTTTACTTTGAATAGGAAGTTTGTTGGCTCTCAGATTTAAATGTGTTATCAACATTTGCCTAACCTTTTCCTCTAGTGCTTACTTCCTCTGGCCTTCCTGAGCCTGAGCTACTCATATGTTCAGAAATGTACACAGTGATGAAAATGATACCACTGTGCCAACAGAGCATGTTATTGAGGGACAGGGCAGGGCCGCCACAGTTTGAGTCACTGTGCTATGTCATTCTTGTGAGGTTAGTGTTGGGCAGTGATACACACACACTCACAAGTTTGTCTTTCTATCTTTACAGGGACTTTGCATTGACTTCCATTCATTTTTCATTCGTTTCTATAGCCTAACCCTGACCCTTACCCTAAACCTAACCTTAACCCATCCTCAATTCACACCTTAGTCCTAAAGTAAACCTAAACCCTAACCCACCAACGACACTACTTCTTATGGGGTTTTGGGCCCCATAAGGAGTAGTTGGTCCTCACAGTGTAGTATGTATTGGAAAAAATGGGCCTTACAAAGTAACAAATACAAACACACACACATAAAATAATCTACTGTATTTTTTGCCCTATTAGTCACAGTTTTTTGCATAATTTGCATGCCCTGCGACTTATACGCCAAAGCAAGATGAAATATGACAGTTTTTATTCATTCTGACTGAAAATATTGAACACTACAATTTTCAACCACTAGATTGCAGTGGAGTGTATGGCATGCCGTTGTATGATGTAATAGGTAAAAGTGGCTATTAATGACTCAATCGGCTTGCCATAGCCTGCCACCATCAACTGCCTGGACTCTCAAATCAGCTTCATTTCGCTGCACCGCTCCGGTGAAATGCAGCTAATTTGACCACTGAAGTGCATTTATTAAGTAAAAGTTCAACTGAGACACACCTTTACTATAAAGTCGAGCTAACAAATAATTGTTTTTAGGTGCTTATCTTGTTAAATTCTTGCTAAAGTCTTCCCGTGCATGCTCATTCGGCAGCCAATCGATTTTTGGCACACCGGCCCACATTTCTGGGTTGTCAGCGGTGACGCATAATAGATGTGATCTATACGACGAAGCAACATATTTATGGATTTTTCCACTTTATTAGGCATATTTGGACTGATGCGACTTGTAGGGCGGTGTAACGTTTACGGTAACAGAAACACCGTGGTTCATTTTTTCAATGTAAGATAACTCTATCAGAACAATATACCGCTATATTCTGAACTTTTAGAAAAGAACGGTGACTCACCAATCATAGACGGTCAGTTTGACACGCTCACACATCGATGGGAACTACAGCAAATGCACGAAACATGTCAAACAACAAGCAAGTAAAACATTAAAAACTGATTTTTGTGTGACGTGTCTCTGCAGCTTCACAGCCGAGACTCATTACTTTGACTTGGAGGTTCAAAACTTGATTCCACTCTGGGTTTGCATTCTTCTCAATGATCTGTGTGCACAGCTGGAGAGGGAATGAAACACCTTGTATTAGCTTTCTCTCTACAGTGTGACAGTAACCTACCGTAAATTGCTTCATTTAGCAATTTGGCTGAAGTAAGTGAAATGCTCTGCAACCTTTTTGCCAGCAAATCGAGCTTCTAGAAAAGGATCCACCAAGTTCTTCTTATTTTCGTCTCCTCCAAAAATCCCTTTTAAACTTTGGACAAATGCATCGTCCACTGAAAAAAGACGATGAAGAAGAAGAATGAATTCTCAGTTCAACAGATTTACTTTCATAATACACAAACTGGAAGTTATTTTCTTACTCTGTGGAATGTCCTCAGCTCTGAAGACCTTTAGTGACAGAGTTGCCCATCGCAGAGTTACACCTGCTGGCAGCAGCAGATTACTCTCTATGTCATCCTGGTCATCATTAGACTCCCTCTTCTCCACCTTCAGTTTGAATACAAGATGAGATGAACGCAAGAAACAAATCCAGCGTGATATGATGAGAAGCAACATGCACCAGCACGTATGATGCGAGTCGTACCGGAGGTTCATCTCCTGCTCCTACTACAAAGAGGCTAACTTTGAGGTAGCCTTTAGCTGCGGAGCTGGCGTCATCTGGATCATTCAACAAGAGCCACTTCCTCATAACACAGTGGGCTGAAAACAGACCAAACATTTATAATTATTGGATTAAAAACGACACGCAAACCGCTTCAATGCAGACATCGGCTGGTAGAATAAACTGGAAAATGGAGAAAATGTAACATTTTGTGAGAATTTTAACAAAAATTTATATAGCATGCCAATTTTTTATACCTTAAAAAGTTGTATTCGTTGGTTGCAATGGCAAGTCAACACAGCACCACCAATATTTCATTTGTAACTTATTAGCTTTTAGCTAACAAATAGCTGAACATTAGCCGTCAGCTAACAAGAAGAAAGCATTTGCTCATAGTTAATGTTACCTTTTTTTTTTTTACAACAAATAATAAAACTTAATTGAGTTCCTTCAGATGTTTTTCGACTGTTTTCTTGTTAGATGCTTTCGATCCCTCTGGGTCCTGAGGGAAATGTCTTTTTGAAGCTACAAGCATTTATGCTACACTATATTGCTTTATTCTAATAGACAAGAGGTAGATTTATGGTTTTGTAGCTTCAATAATTACAAAAGTTGCTTGCTGCAGACAATAAACAACTAATCGTTTACAAAGTGAATGAGTCAATGCAAACTATTAAATAATAACTGCGGCTAAACGGCTGGAGCTAATCTAAACTGACAAAAGTAATAACTAGTCTGTTGGTTTGTTACTCTGTGAAACTTTACACAACATGCAGCATGAACAATCTAATTAACGATGGGGAAAAAATAACTAAAGTAGCATAAAATAGAGGGAAAAAGTAAAATTTGTCTTTTTTTAGATCAATTTTAAAAACATTAAGTTGATAAAACAAAACACTTGACTAGACTTAATCCTTGTATTCTGTTAAATATAATGAACTGAGCCAAACTTGGTGCTTACCTGGTTCATCATAAACATAACCAACATCCAGCTGTGTGGAAAAATAAGAACTTTGTGAACATCAGCTACACTTCTCTTAAATGTCAGTAATTCTGTTTGGTGGCCATTTTACCTTAAATTCACCCATGAGGCTGTCAGCTCTCAGTGAATATGAATCGTACACCTGGAAGTACAAGTAAAGAGTGAAAGTTAATACTGGAGGTGACAAAAACACACCAGACGCCGACAGAAGCCGCAACATTTATGTGTTATACTTACCCGGAAACAAATGTTCTGTTCAAACAAATCTGATGGCAGCATGTGAACGTTGTAGAAGAACATCTGATAAAGTAATGAGATTCTTAGCAAGTTCAGATTGGCAGGATTATAAAATTATATATATTTTTAATTAAATGTTTCTTTGGTGCCGTCTGTTGTCTAGTTGTCATTACTTCATCAAAGAAAGGGTTATTTCCCCTCTTGATCCTGGTCCTGTGGGTCTCTCCACCCACGCTGACCTTCACCACAGGTTTGATGTTGTTGCCAGGCAACTGACGGGCCTCGATGATTCGAGCACGGATCTGAAATAAATAAAATAAAAACCATGAATAAAACAAGTTACCTTTACTATACTTAGAGGATAAATAGGTCTCATTGTTGCAGCTCACAAGGTGTATAATTATTATGTGATTAATAATTATTATAATAATTAATTATTATAATATAATATTAATATTATATTATAATATTAACAATTATTATTTTGTTTTGTACTGTTAGTGTTTAGTGTATTTCTTAGTTTAGTGTATTTCTTACACACTTTATAATTTTGCTATTGTTGAATGTAACTGGGACCCTGTGTACACAGTTTCACTCCACCTCATGTACCACATGTGATGCAATTCAGGTCTCTCTTGTAAATGAGTCCTGGAGGCTCAATGGGATTAACCTGTCTAAATAAAGGTTGAACGAATGAATGAAAAAAATGACAATAAAACCAACTTGGACTTGAACTTGTATAAACAAAGCCATAAAACTAGAACAAAACTTACACATACTTAGTTTTTTTTAGGGATTTCCCATTTATTGCAGTTTAATGTTGTTGTTTTTTTATTACGAGACAAAAATAATTAAACTTGATTAAAATTTATAATTAAAGTGAGGTTTTTTTTTGAATAAACAAACAGTGCCCATTATGTATTATTATTATTATTATTATTATTATTATTATTTAACCAAAGGGATGTTTTTTTTTTTTCAAATAGGAAGTCGGTCCCAGCAGTTCTTCCTCTGATTTCATCCTCAAATGGTGTCCGATTGAGTTTGTTGATTCCTATAAATATTTGGGTATCTTTGTCGACTCACATCTCTCTTTTAAGCTCATGTGGAAAACTTGGTAAAGAAACTGAAAGTTAAACTGGGTTTCTTTTTCAGAAACAGATCCTGTCTAACTCTGAATGCTACGAAACGCCTTGTATCTGTGACTTTCCTTCCCTCCATTGATTACAGTGACATTATTTACATGAACGCTCCTACAAGAACCCTGCAGATGTTGGATGCTGTCTATCATGGTGCATTAAGATTCATAACTGGCTGTGATTATCGTACCCACCACTGCACCCAGTATTCACTGGTTAACTGGACATTATTAACTTCACGCAGACTCTCTCACTGGTACATTTTCATCTTTAAATCACTTCTTGGTCTGTTGCCTTCATACATCTCCTCCTACATGTTTCTGCGTGAGTGCAGTTACAGCGTGCGCTCTCAGGACATTATTACCTGCAGTGTTCCCTCAGTGAGAACTGAACTTGGCAAAAGGGCCTTCTCCTACTCCGCTCCTGTTTCCTGGAATATCTTACAAAAAGATTTGAAGCTTTCGACCTTGACCTCTCTAAGTGGCTTTAAGAATCTGTTGGACTTCTGGCAGGGATCGATGCAGACATGTTCCTGTTTTTAGTTTTCTACATTCACCTTATAAGCTAGCTGTTTTTGTTACTTTTTTGCCATCTTATTTGTATAAAAAAATCTGTATGACTTTTTATAACTGTCTATTGTTGTCATCATTCTTTGTTGAAATCAGGTCTCTCTTGTAAATGAGTCCTCGAGGCTCAATGGGATTAACCTGTCTAAATAAAGGTTGAATGAATGTAAAAAAAACTCAAAACATTTGTGTTTTTGTAAATTATGCAAAACATTTTTTACCAAAGAAGATAAAACTAGCAGCTCAGGCAAAGTGTTTCTGAACTTTTCAACATGAAATATCACACCTAATGATAACAATAAGATAAAATAAAAATAAAAAAGCTACATTTTCATGTCTTTGAAATAAAATCATCTTGATCTGTACACAAAATGTATAATTAAATACAAAGTGTATGACAAATAAAGAACCTTGAACCTTGAATCCTTGAAAATCTGCAGATTTAAATGTGTTTTAAACAAATGCATTGTGTGGGAAGTACTGATTTAACTGCAGATGACTCAAGGTAGTTTTTTTTTTTTTTACTAAGACAGGAAATAAGTTTGTGATTACTCCTACTCATTTTATTTTTTTAAAATAAGCATCTATTCCTACTCTTCATAGAAGCAGCACACATTAAAATGTTTTAAATAGGACTTCTTTGAGTTTACAGTCATGAATAAAAAAAATGTCAGAGAGAAAAATGTTGCATTTTGGGGCTTCAACGTGGTTAGTTTTATTTTACATTAATCAAACAACATTAAAAATATGCAAAGTTTAAGGACTCATCAGAAAACACCACATTTATTCAGAGTCATAGTTAACCCTTTGTCTTCATAAGTTCTGTAACTCACTCTGACATGGTGTAGATCCGTATTATTTGTACCAACTATGAACACCTTTTGTTTGCTTCTGCTCATCTACCTGATACCATCAACAATAATAATGTTCTGGGCTTTGAGTCACTTGGTTGTCACATCTGCCTTGTGACATGACACCCCATCGTGGTCCACAGACCATCATCAAACTGGGCCTGGATTGTGCCACACATGACAGTGTTTGTCAGTAAGCACACAGGACTGAGAAGTGACTCTCGTGCACACATGGATTGTATCCAAATGCTCCACTGTTGGCACAACACACAATTCATGGCAGTTTTAACCCGCTCTTCTCCAAATGATTTCCCCCAAATAGTCTAAAAATATATTTGGAAAAAATAAAAAATCACCTTACACAAGTCTCCCTGGCTCTTGTGCTTTTTGCAGAATGCTAATTTGTCTTGAACGTTAGTTTTTTACAGAAGCAGCTTTTTTGCTATCCTTGTCACAAAGTCCTCCAAAGGCTTTTTTCTTACAGATGCTCTCACAACCCATTCTGTAGTGAACCCCTTTAGGAGATGGTGGGTGCTTGAATGCCCTGAATCTTCTTCACCTCATTGAAGTTCTTGGTTATCTGGAAAACTGAACTTTTAGGTGCAATATTGCTTGCAGCATTTTTCTTGCGTGATAGTCGCAATGATGGTTGCATGATATTATTTGAAGGTAAGGATTACAAAATAGAAGGGCAATCATTTTAAGCATATTTGCCCCCCTTTTAAATACCCATGGTCTTTCTGACAAGGTTGAGTCAGGTCCTCTGGACGGATTCTTTTTTGTTGAAACATTTCGTCTTTTATCCAAAATGCCTGGTTTCTGCCCTCTCCTGCCATAGTTTCTGCTTTTCCTTGCCATGCCTTCATGTTTTGTTTACCCTGCTTCGTGCTCTGCTCTTCACCACACCCACTCCGTTCTTCCACAGCAGGGGTGTCAAACTCACTTACTAAAGGGGGTCAAAATTAGAACCTTTTTCAAACTAAGGGCCGGTTTCAGAATCTACATTAACTCAAGTTAGATACCCAACATCTTTTCTTGGTTGCAGGTTCCTCAGGTTGTTTTCACACCTGATAGTCCGGTAGACTCGATTCAGTTGGGGACCAATATTCATGACCTTTTGTTTACATTTGAGCTGGTGCGTTTGCATTCACACTGCACTGTGCAGTCGAGCCAACCTGTTGAACCAATCTATTACCCCGCTCGCCTGTGGGGACGCTGCACCAAGAACTACTGAAAGAAACAACACAAAAACCTCTGAAGACACTTCTTCTTCTTCTGGAAATAAAAACAAAAACGGAGTGGCATCAAGTTTTAGCAGTTTTAGGAGTTATATTTTGTCATTTTTCAACAATGGACTCAGCATGAGCAGAAGATGAGACAGAAGACCATGGAGAATATTGTTTTTCACACAAGGCAGATGACGGCACCATATAAGGTCAGAGAAATGCGTATTTGTTTGCCCTGCATTGTACTCCACTTCTTGCTTGTGGAGCGGGGCCCGGTCTGTTTGCATTCACACTGTACTCGAACCGCGCTGGAGTTCTCTTCTACTGGACCGAGACCTAGGTTTTAGCCCGGGCCAGAGTTCGCCTTTTTGTTCCGTGACAGAGTTCGATGGCGCGTTCACACCTCCCCAAACGAACCGGACTTTCTAGGAAAACGAGCTAGCGTTCGATTAAAGCGGACTAAACAGGGCTGGTGTGAATGCACCCTCAGTAAGTGTTTGATTGGTCTCATTTGACTTTCTCTGTTGCACTTTTGACATCATAATCCAAGATTACTGAAAAAATTTAAAGTGATAAAAGTGTTTTACATTTAAAATAACATCTTGGGGGCCAGATAAGATGTCAACGAGGGCCACATTTGGTCGGTGGGAGGAAACTGGAATACTCGGAGAAAACCCACACATGCACAACGAGAACATGCAAACTCCACCTAGAAAGGCCCCAGGCTTGGATTCGATCTGGCAACCTTCTCGCTGAGAGGCAACAGCTCTACCAATGGAGCCACCGTGCCGCCCTCTATTGTATAACTATACTGAAAAAGAAATAGCTAATAATTCAGTGGCATGACAAAACTATTGCAAACTGTCACAACATAAGCTAAATCTGCAAAGTTTACAAATCATTTGTCTCAGTCCAAGTATTGGACGTATAGGTGTTTGAATCTTACATTGAAAGTAGCTCTGTCAGAGGATTTTGGTCAGTGGTTACGGAGTCATGGATATATAATTACTAGTGTTCTTTCCCTTAAAAACAACCAAGTTGTCTATTCAAATTATCCTGCCTGTGGACTGTAAGTGTGAAGGCCAGGGGTGCCATGTGAGACTACAGCTGGCTTTGAGGACACCTACTGAAACCTTGCAAGTTGATAAGTATGATAAGGCCATATAAAGTGAGGGGACGATACAGCACTTGCAGATCATTGTGACCGGGCTTCAGGTGTATACATTTAATGCATATTGATGTGAACTGTTCTGATATCTGCACTCGCAAGTAAAATTGTGCTGGAGATGAATTTTCACCTGCCATGTGTGAGTGTGGTTCATTTGAGTAAACATCATTTAGAGCGTTTTCCTCTAACAAGCTCCATAATGAGCTCAAATTGATTTGACAAAAAAAAAAGACCAATCAGACTGACCTGAAAGTCCTGTGGTTTGTTTACAAGTCTGTGGCGACTCTGTGCCCTGGCCATCTTCTGGCGGAGATCGACGGGCGGACCAGAGGTTGTGGAGATTCCTGCAGAGCCACTTTGGACCCCATCTGCTTGAGTGTCGCCTTCCTCTTCACCACCACCACCTCCTAACCATCAGCACCACAAGATGATCAGAGATTACATAACTTATACAATTCAAATTCAGTGTAAACAGTACATATAATGTGTAGTACTTCATCAGCATACCAGCATCAACTGTAGCATCTCCACCTTGCGGGTTACTGGGGTTTGGACCAGCATTGGCTGGAGAGTCATAGGCAACCACAAGATCGATTGTAGCCTAGAATGAAATCACATTTACATTGGTATAGCAGATAGCTTTCCTTTTTTGTGTGCGTGTTTGAATTAATTAGACTTACGCCAATATTCTGCCCACTTTCATTGACCAGAGGAGCATTTTTGCATGGCAGAGATCTTGCTTGACCTGAAGCAAGGTCTCTCAGCAGGATTTTGGCTGACCCAACAAATCTAAACACAAGCAACATGGAATTGTTAGCTGCAGAACTGTTTTAATATATAGAAAAATGTAATTAATATTACAAAAGTGACAATTTTGCGCTGATTTTTTAAATTTTAATTTGGCAAAAACTGCACAAATGCACATCTGTAAGCAGATTAAAGGCTGCTTGTGAACATGATGCTGTATGTGTGCACAAATGAAGTGGCATTCACAAAAAGGGCCCACAGAAGGTAACCACCTAAAGCTAACAAGCCCTGCCTGCTGAGACAAACAAAACACGCCCGTTAAGGCAGCACATGCATCATTTTATTCCGCCTCAACAACCAGGGATTTCTTACACTGAGATGTGAAATGAACAGACGCTGACGTTTTTCACTAAAACACCAGACGTTTACGGGGCAAGAGTGAGGCTTTTAAACCTGTCCACCATACATTTTCCTGATTTATTTTATGGTTTGAGTGGTCAACTTTACAGTGAACATGTAAAGCTCATGGCTGTTCTTGGCCTCTGTAAATTGAAACAATATAACAAATCTTCAAATTTTATATCTGAGTCAACATCATATTAAAAGCCTTCAATTATTTAGAGACAAAAAAATTAGAGTTCCTTAAATGACGTGATTATGCTTTACTTGTCCAGCCAAACTGGATCTTTAGCAGCCTTTCCAGTAATGCCCTTCAGCTGTTTACTGCTCAACTGTCATGACTGCTCTGGTGTGCAGCCAAAATCTGCACTGCTCAATACACAGTTTAAGTGTCGTTACTAATTAAACTCTAATGAGGTCAACAAAAGAAAGTGAAGTCTACAATAGGCAGTCAAAATGAACAATCACTGACAAATAACCTGATGCACACACTGACAAATACGTTACAAATTAATTAGGGATGCACAATGTTATCGACATTGTATCGTATCGGCCGATATTAGCGATAAAGTTAAATATCGGACATCGGTCATTCTATCAAAATAACTCACCGATATAAAAGGCTTCTGTTTTATGTAAATTTTTAATTTAAGAAAATGTCAAGTATATTTATTAATGCACTACTACTTATATGCTTTTCACTTATCACATGTGAAAAGGTTGAATTTAGATTTGTGGAAATTTACAAATTTGCACTGTTCAAGTCATTGTGTTAGAGTAAAATAAATTTGACATTAAACATAATCCAAGTTGAAGTGTTGCATCATTTTCAGCCCCTTTTTGGCATCTGTATTTGATAGCAGGCCAAACTGACACATACCATGCAGAATAATGTAGTATTTTAATTCCACAGCAGATAAAGCTATGTAGTCTCTGTCAGTAGATCTAGGAAAAAATTACCGGTATTGGTATAGGTCAAATAAGTTTTAACATATCGGATATCGGCCAAAAATCCAATATTGTGCATCCCTAAAATTAATCTTAAGTAAGCAAAACACTTGAAACAACCGTGGGGACAGAATCAGGTCCACTTCATTCCATCCAAAGGAAACCAATCTGATGTTACAGATAAATTATACAGTATCTTGTTTGGACAGGCAAAGTTTTTTTGTTTTTGGCATGTCTCCTGATGGGAGGAATGTTTGTAGAATAGAGTCACAGACATGATCCACCATCTGAGGAATCTGTCGATTTAAAACATTTGGAGGTCAGAGGAACATGAGGTTTTTGGGGGCAAGACTTGCATACAATTAGCAAAACAAGCAAACAAAACAACAGTTATCACCCACTGCTGACAGGCAGGCGATAATGTTTCTGCCTGTGTTTGTGCTGGTTAGCAAAATATCTCAAAAGTCACTTAATTTTGATAAAACGTCTAGAAAGTAGATATTGGATGGAATTGTACAACCAATCGCCTTTTGACGTCAACCCAAATCAAGATGGTTGTCACAGTCAACTGACCTTTGGAGAACAAATATGCCTACAACTCCATCAGTTTGACGGATACTGAGCTAAGATTTGCTGTGGTTAACATCAACACTATTTTCAAGTCTTGACCAAAACTGTTAAAACACTTTAAAACTTTGGAATGAAAGGGTGGGTGATACGCTTCCTTCAAGAAATTCTGTCTTTAACTGTTTATACCAGATATTTTGTGACCTTGAATCATGGAGTAACTTCTGTTTAGTAAAACTGGGTCAACCATCTGTTGTGTGTGTTTTTCCTGGGTTCTAAGAAATTCTTAACATTTTGCATCTCTGACATTTTCATAAGAACAGTCAAATTTGAAGAGAGATTAAATTATACATTGAACTGTATCTGCCACGACTAGGTTATTACACTGGGTGAAAAGTTTACACTACAGTTGGGTGTAAACTGGAAAAGCTTATGAGCATATTCTTGAACCAAACGCTTAATATTTAAAGACGTAATGACTAAAACAGGCTTTGAGACCATTGTTAAGCTCTGGTGAGTCACAAAGAAACAATGACCTCATGCCAGTAATGATGTTAATATATATTAATATCAATAGTGTTTTCCTTCCTTTTTCAATATGTTTATGCTTTCAGTTACAGTTGGACTAACTCAAAGTGCTGCTTCTTGTTATCATATGTTTAAGTTTTATTTGTTTGACCTTTCTTTTACCAGGTGAAATGTTTGAGAACCAGTTTTAATTAAACAATGTGATTTGTGGTCATAATACGTTCATATCTTGCTCTTTCCTGAAGTTCGAACAAAAACAACGCATTAACAATAAACTGGAACCGTAATCATATAGGACTGCACTGTCTTTGACTTTAAGTTAACAAGACATTCTTTTGTCTGTGGAAAAATGGGGGGGAAATCAGCTTTAATCATAAATGGCGCAGCCCAAAATTTACAAATATGACTAAGTTTATAAGAAGGAAACTTGAGCAATAAATAACACTTCAGACATCAAGTAGTTATGACAATATTTATGAGACATATTCTTGTTTGTTTCTGTAGGTGATGAATCCTCCTCACACCAGTGTTAGTCATGGAGTTCCGCAGGGCTCTGTATTTAGACCAGTACATTATACTGTGTAATATGTTTCCATTAGGGTAATTACTCAGACAGCACAGGATAAAATGATTTTGTATGCTTCTGATACTCAGCTGTATTTATCCATAAATCATTAAAAATCAATTAATAAGACTAAACACATATTTAATGGAAGTCTGGGTAACCTTTGATTTATTGTTTGGAAATATGGACAAGACTAAATTTGTTGTTTCTGAACCTGAACACTAGGAACAAGAACTGAATGGCTTTACCTTGGCCCGCAGTATTAAGTATTATCACAAAGTACCCCCCCCCCCCCCAATAAATAAATAAATAAAACAAACAAATAAATAAATAAAAACAACTAAAAACTGGACTTCTATTCTGTAGTTGAAAACATTTCACTTTCCATCCAAGGCACTTTAAAAATACAAAAACATAAATAAATGGAAAAAAAACCCTGGAGCGTGTGGAGTCCCAGGTGCAGTATTTTAAACAGCACGAGAAGCTCCATTAAGTAACAGATTCAGGTGCAGATTTAAACTCATCTTCCTCCTCTTGGTTGGGAGGCACAACCTGGCTTTGGTTCTGTTGAAGGTTTCTTCCATTAAAAAGGAAAATGTTTCTTTCGCTTGTCAGGTGACTTGAACTGGACTGTGTGTAAGATTCAATCTGAGCTGGACTGAGTTGTAATCACATTGAATTGGAACAAACTGGACTGCGTGTAACTGGATTTGCATTGAACCTTTTAGCGTTTTAAGACTGACACGCTGTGATTTGATGTTGTAAAAATAAAATGAACTGAATCCTCAACTAATCCAACCTTTATTGTATCTTTTCCCAATCAAACATGTGGCATTTATAAATATTATGGTAGGTATAGTAAATTTTAGGGATGCATGATATTGGATTTTTAGCCGATATCCGATATGCCGATATGTTAAAACTTATTTGGCCAATAACCAATACCGATACCGATATGTTTTCCCCTAGACCTACTTACAGACTACATATCTTTCTCTGCTGTGGAATTAAAATACTACATTATTCTGCATGGTCTTTGTCAGTTTGACCTGCTACTAAATGCAGATGCCAAAAAGGGGCTGAAAATAATGTAACACTTTAACTTGGATTATGTTTAATGTCAAATTTATTCATGACATTTACTCTCTCTAACACAATGACAACTCTCAAACAGTGCAAATTTGTACCTATTATATTGGTGAGTTAATTTGATGGAATTTCCGATGTCCGATATTTATCTTTATCACTAATATCGGCCGATACGATACAATGCCGATAATATCGTGCATCCCTAGTCAATTTTGTTGCTTTGCTGTCACAATTCAGCAATTTTTTAAGTTTTCATGTCTTTTATAGTTATAAATATGAACCCAAAATATTTTAAAGGTGTATTTTAAAACATTTACAGTTTTTTTTATCATTTTCTTTCTAACACTTTTGACTTGAATGTGGTAGCTTTATGACAAGGAGAAACTGATTTGTACTCAGCACTATAGCTGCCGCCACAAACGATCCACAAATAAATGCATTCTCAAAGCAAACACATACCAAAATGATCCACCAGTAAAATAAAATGCTCAGATCTTACTTCTGAGTGATAATCAGAGTTTTGTGTTGCATCCAATAGTTGCAGCTCAGACAACTATTAAAACAATGTGACGTTTGCCATCCTCCGACCTCCTCTCTCCACTGCAGCTGCAGAAAATCTCTCAGCATCTATGAAACCATGTAAAACTCGTGTACTAACATTATTCAAACTGTGACAATGACTCACACTTTTGGGATTTTTCTGTGTGCAGGAAGTAAAAAAAAAAAACAAAAAAAAAAACTCTTGGCTGGATCTGAGCCATAAAGTTTACAGTGAAACGCTCTGCTGTTACTTTCATCCAACATGAAACAAGAATATTGCTTCCCAAAATGCACTTACACATGCACTCATTGCCTTTTGTTCCCCTTGTTGTCACGACAACAGCTGTCATTTCTACAGCTGGGAAAGTATTTAAGTGGGAGAGAAGCCCTCCTCTGCCTACGCACCATGTAGATCTGCAGGGAGTGTGTCAGACAGGACAGCCCAGTGGAAAACGTGACTCGGTTTAGCTTGGTCTCATGTGCACCGTCCAAAAGCCCCTCCTTTATGACTGTCCCAGACAAAAGCTCAAGAAAGCTTCTGCACTGAAAACTCATGCACTTTTATATATATTGTTACGAACAGCACTTCTATTCATTGTTGTATACAAGTTTTGATTATGGAATCAACAACATACAAGGAACATTTGTTGTTGTTTTGTTGCACATGTGGCTTCAATTAGAAGTTATTTACGGTGTTTGACTGCATTTCCTTCAGGATGTTAGAGCAGTCCCTTCATTTTAACGCGGGCACTTATTCGCTGAAGGAATTTCCAGCTTTCCACCATAACCGCGCAAATCCTACACCGAGACGCAAAATAAACAGGCCTCCATTCATCCTTTGTTGCTCAATCAGAATCTGTCATCCCACACGGCAAGTCCCAACATGGCGAGGAGGGTGTGAGGGGATGGAGACAGCCTGCTACAAATCAAACACTTGAATTGTTTTTTCCTTTTGAAAACAGGTAAAACAATGCAAAGACGTCCCTAATGCACCAGGAGACGCCCAGTGACAAAACTGCAATAATCACAACACTTTAAAAACAAAAAAGTTTAGATTTAAATGTATTTGAAGAGACATATTTCCAAGAAACTTGCTTTAGACAAGACCAAGGTTGAGCTGTGATTCATTCAGGTGAGGCTTAAGGTCGCTGGAATCCTTCTGTTGCACAAACTAACAGACTTAAGTCTTCTGGGCTGTTATTCCACTTACTTATCTTTACCAATAGTCTCATAGTCTTTCACAACCACGTCTAGATAGGAGCCGGAGTCCAGCGGAGTGCCCTTTAGATCAAATTCAAGCACCTAAAAGCAAAAAAAAACAGAACAAAGAGAGAGATGTTGTCACGTGTTGTTTTTTAGCTGCTGTCATGTCCTGATGAACGTTCATTATAAGTCACTAAGTACAGTCAGCATCACAGTCCATGCCATGACAGTCAGGTGATAAGTGATGAGATATGTTAATTAGATTTAGATGTGATCAATCACTGCTGCTCGTTTAAACCACTGATCAAACCTGATTGAATTCAAAGAGAGATATCTGCTCGCTTCATTACCTCGTTCCACACAGGATTCACTTCATTATCAATCCATTTGGTCTTTTTCTTCTCATCTGTAATAGAAATGTTAGTGATTTATTTGACATATGAGACTTGTTGAACAGCATATCCTTTAAAAATGAACAAAGTTTTATGCTTTGACTGGACCGCAGCTATAGGGGCTGCAGTTTCTGTCCTCAAAGACAAGGTGGTGATGACATCAGGACAACAATAAAATAAAATAAAGTGAAATCAGCTCATCAGCTTGTTGCTGCAGGGTTTGCAACCTCTCCCCAAAAAGAAATGCTTTTTCCGCTCCACACAAACCTGTTTGGTTCTAATTTAGTAGCTTAAGGCCAAAACGGCTTCCAACTTGTCTCTCTCCTCAATCCCCTCTATCTCCATGTGTCCATATACACACACTGTACGTTACAGATGCAGGAGCAGCCACTCTCTGCGCTTATGGAAATGCTGCAACATGTTGGCCTTTTAAATTTTCCAGACTAGACTGAAACTTTAAAGAGGACATTTTTATTGTTTTTCTAAAAACAAACAGCATTTATTTTTGCAAGCTGAGCTACAATGTGAACTTATTATACGTATTTGAGTGTGTATAATTCTACCAATGTTCTTAAGAAGTCAGTGGAGTTATTCACAGCAAATATGAGAAACCATTAAAACATCCACCTAACATTCATCTATAAGCTCAAATGTAGGGGTAAAGTATATTTTATACTACAGACTGCTTAAAAATGAACTTTTAAAAAGAGACCTACCTTTGAAGGTTACAGATGTAATTGGATCAGGGCTTCCAAGTTTCTTTTTAGGAAGATTCTTAGCTGACTCTACTACCACCCGCAGCATGATGACACATGTAGGACCAAGTTTATGCCAGAGGACATGAGAGAAGTTTACACAGGACAGAGGAGTTTTGTCTTCCTCACTGCCCCATCACTGAGACCAACAGGGCAGGACTGAAAGACCAGCTGGGAGGGGAGCAGAGGGAGGATCATGGGGGTGTAATTATCCTGACTGAGGTGAAACTTGTGAGCTGCTGCTGCCATCTATGAGGCAAAGCAGAGTCCATGGCATTGTAGACTGATTCAATAAAAAAAGGTTTCTGTGTCTAAAACTCTCTCACACACTTCACTGAATAATCATGTTTGATTGGAAACAACACATTTAATGTGAAGGACAAACAAAAGTAAAAAAAAAAAAAGTTTTCACAGTGAACCTCCTGATAAAAATGTTTGTATGGCTCCATCTAGTGGCTAAAAAGTGTAACATCTAACAGACAAGGGAGGCCACTGAAGACACACACTACTAAAAAATTATAACAAACAGACTACTTCTATTACAAATAATAATCCATCCATCCATGAGCTTGACCCGCTTCTTCATTTTTGGGTTGCGAGGGTCACTGGTGCCCATATCCAGCAGTCACTGTGTGAGAGGCGGGGTACACCCTGGACAGGTCTCACAGGGACACGCAGAGACAAATGAGACAAACAAACCACAACAAAGTTAAGTCAGGTCCTCTGGACGGTTTATTTTTGTTGAAATGTTTCGTCTTTCATCCAAAAGACTTCATCAGGCCGAGGAGCTGCAGCAAACTCAGTCTTATAAATATCACCTTCACATAATGAATCAACCAGTTTGATGGTGATGGTTTCTGTCCTCTCCCCCGCCAACTAGTTTGAGGCAGTCATGGCCAAAGTGGTCAAAAACATCCTGATCGTGAGCGGACAGACTCCAGAATCATTAGAGCACCATCAACCTGGTTGACCCACTGTGTGAAGGTGATATTCATAAGATTGAGTTTGTTGTGGCTCCTCGGACTGATGAAGTCCTTTGGATGAAAGACGAAACGTTTCAACAAAAAGAAACCGCCCGGAGGACCAGACTTAACTTTGTTGGATGCATGTTTTTGGTTTGTGGGAGGAAACCGGAGTGCTCGGAGAAAACCCAAATGCACAGAGAGAACATGCAGAGTCCACTCAGAAAGGTCCCTGGTCGGGATTTGATCCAGCAACCTTCTCACTGAGAGACAACAGCCACAACAACAACAACAGCGACAAAGACAATGACAGAATTAAAGTCAAAGTAAAAAGAAGCCTGGATCAAGAAGCTACTGATCAAGACCACTTTCAAGGATTAAAGGGCGGTCTGGGTTTAGAAACTCTTTGCACAGTTGTGTCACAATCAAACAGATCACACCAAACTTTAAACTACATTCTCCACTTTGCTTTCTTTCTTTTCATAGTTTATTTCAGCCTGCAAGCTCTAATCCAGCAGCTGTCCACTCTCTATAACCCAATCAGGGTATCCATACTTGAAAGCTGCAGATCAGAAACCATTCAACTCTGACAGAGGGGACAAGTTTGAAACCCAAACTGACATAAAATAGTGAATATGTGTTTTATATAAAGCACAAAATTTGCTGAAGGGATATTTGGTGGGGGAGGTTTGCATTTACAGCTGTGGGCAGAAGTTTCCATCGACTCATGAAGAACATGAAAGTCATCAATGTGGGGCTTTTAATGATTCTTTTGGGATCCAGTTGGTCTTCTTCAGGGACCACAAGCCAAAGTGAAACCGAAAACATGCATCAAAAAATAAATCTCAAAATGTTCCCAAGAAATATTTTTGTCCCCTAAACTAAATGATGTTTGTTTTTAAGACGTTTAAAATCAGACGTCGCCCATGCAATCAGCTGGGAACCTTCAGAGTCCGTTTTGTTGAACTCCTTTCTACTGAAGTGAGAAGCAATCTTTGTGTGTTGGCAATAAATAAATTACATTGTGTACGAAAAGGCAAGATAGCAAAGTCAGTAATCTTTATTTTCACTTCGATCCCACAGGATCTGTTATCATGTTACAATCTCCACTTTATCGTTCTGTGGGATCTACCAGTTCTCCCCTGGATCCTGAACCATTTTGCTTCGTTAAGTCTGTTCCTCTGTTACTCCCCAGCCAAGCTTCAGTTTAGTCTGGAAACCTTTGGCTTCTCCACGGTTTCCTCCTCAGCTCCTCATGTTAACTTTACATACTTTGCGTTGCGAACATTTGTAATAGAGCGCTTCTTTTATTATTTCTCAGTGTGGACATTCCTGTCTGAAGACAAGGAGCTTTGTCCGGGGTTTGCATGAGGAGTCAGAGACAGAAAACAAATCACGCAGAGACGAACTCAGACTGACTCAGACTCAACTGTCTGGACCAATTTGAAGAGGGACTGTGATTTAGTTATATGACTACATCAAGAAGGAAGAAGAATCTGTGGATGCTTTATGAAATGGAGGTGCCACACACAAGGTTTTGGTGAGTACACTTTTCAAAGTGTATTTCTTTAATTTGGTCCGAAGGCAGCAGATCAAAATGATTAAAGATGTGTTGCATCTCCACATCTGTTTGTAGATCCAGCTCACCCAGCCATAACATGTGTGCAAAGTTTAATAAAGAAAAGAAAAATTAGCATACACCTATTGTCAGCCTTTACAGAAGAAGATTAAGGCCACGTTCAATACCATTTCCCCCTTAATTCTGAAAAGAAAAGAAAAAAACTGAATTCTGAGAAAAGTCTAATTTTTTCAGAAGTCAAAAATTCTGACTTTAATCTCAGAATTAAAAAAAAAAAAATTCTCAGAATTAAGGGGAAAAAACAGGTATTGAACGTGGCCTTAATCCTCTTCCATAAACTTTTAACCAAGTTTTTTAATGTACATATTTTAATTAAACTCAATTAGATGACTTACTTCTTTTTTTTTTTTTGGTTGTAAAAAAATAAATAATTTTTTTTTTTTAAGTGCAGCGTGAATACTAGGTGCTGAATGAGTTGGCTGAAATTTTTTCAAGACGCTGAAACTGAGTTAAAACAAGTGAAATATAAGCTAAAATAGACCAAAACAACAGCCAAAAGCTAAATCCATCACATCTCTAGAAAAAAAGTTGCAAAAAAAAAAAATAAAGAGAGAGAGAGAAATAGCATGCTGGCCAAAAGTTGAGCAATTACAGCAAAGCAATTGTTAAAATGTAGAAAAGTGCTAGCTACTAGCCAGCCCCAAGGGCCACCCCTGTTGATTGACAGCTCACATGTAGTATTTAATGATGTACCATTTGCGTAAATGAAGAATACAGAGTAAATGTCTAAGTGGCTGTTTTGTCTGGTGATGAAAGGACTTATCAGTGTAATGAAGAAAAGAGAAACTTTTCTGAACCACTGAATATGAAGTGATTCAACCTTTTTTGTTGTTATATACCTGGATGACTGAGAAAACAAACTTTGTGTATTTGTTTACATTGTTTCTGGGTCAGAAACATTTAACAGAAATATAGCGACATCTGGTGGTCAATCTCTAACATCGCATTGGCATGGAGCAAAAGGCAAGGTTTTAAGACTGTCATGCACAGATGCTCAACCAGAATATGGTCATCTTCTGCTTTTTGTCTGTTTATTTTTTTCTATTTAAGACATCAAATCTAATAGGAATGAGTCATTGTAAAAAATTGCATGTTATAGTTTTCTTTTCTTTTTTTTTGTATGTGCCCCCCTGAAAAAGCATCGGCCACCCCTTGCATGAAAGTCTAGCTTCATTTTCTTCTTCTTATTCCTTCAGCTTTTCCCCTCTTTGAGGGTCACCACAGCGAATCATCCTCCTCCATCTTACTCTGTCCTCTGAATCCTCTGTCCTCACTCCAACTACCTCCATGTCCTCTGCATCCATGTATCTCCTCTTTGTCTTTTTCCTGGCAGCTGCATTTCTAACATTCTTCCTCCAATATATCCACTGTCCCTCCTCTGGACATGTCCAAACCATCTCAGTCTGATCTCTTTAACTTTATCTCCCAGTTGTTCAACCTGTGCTGTACCTCTGATGATCTCATTCTTTTTCATTCAACCTTTATTTAGACAGGTTAATCCCATTGAGCCTCGAGGACTCATTTACAAGAGCGACCTGATTTCAACAAAAAATTATGACAACAATAGGCAATTATAAAAAAGGCATACAGATTTTTTTTTTTAAACAAATTAAAATAAGATGGCAAAAAAGTAGCAAAAACAGCTAGATTAAAAGGCGAATGTAGAAAACTAAAAACAGGAACATGTCTGTATTGGTCCTTGCCAGGAGTCCAACAGATTCTTAAAGCCACTTAGAGAGGTCAAGGTCGAGAGTTTCAGATCTTTTTGTAAGATATTCCAGGAAACAGGAGTGGAGTAGGAGAAGGCCCTTTGCCTAGTTCAGTCCTCATTGAGGGAACTTTGCAGGTAATAATGTCCTGAGAGCGCACGCTGTAGCTGCACTCACGCAGAGACATGTAGGAGGAGATGTATGAAGGCAGCAGACCAAGAAGTGATTTAAAGATGAAAATGTACCAGTGAGAGAGAGTCTGAGTGAAGTTAATGATGTCCATTTAACCAGTGAATACAGGGTGCAGTGGTGGGTACGATAATCACAGCCAGTTATGAATCTTAGTGCACCATGATAGACAGCATCCAACATCTGCAGGGTTCTTGTAGGAGCGTTCATGTAAATAATGTCACCGTAGTCAATGGAGGGAAGGAAAGTCACAGATACAAGGCGTTTCCTAGCATTCAGAGTTAGACAGGATCTGTTTCTGAAAAAGAAACCCAGTTTAACTTTCGTTTCTTTACTGGGTTTTCCACGTGGAGATTAAAAGACGGTTGCGAGTCGACCAAGATACCCAATTATTTATAGGAATCAACAAACTCAATAGGGACACCATTTGAGGATAAAATCTGAGGAAGAACTGCTGGGACCGACTTCTTGTTTGAAAAAAGCATCCCTTTGGTTTTATTGGCATTTAAGACAAGTTTGAGGCAGAACAAATCTGACTGGATGGTGTCAAATGAAGATTGCAAATGCTGGAAAGCCTTAGCAATTGTTATAACTTCTTATCCATCCTTGTCACTCCTAAGAAGAACCTCAACATCTTCTTCATTT